AGCACACAATGATAGGATTTTTATTTCTTAGATGCCTGATAACTGATCCCTTTGACACCTTGTGATTGCACAGGCTGGTGTGCTTCTCCCATGTGAGACTGGTGATCTTTTACAAACAATTCCAGAAGAGGGATTGAACAAAAGCCCCCCCCTCCCCATCTTTTACCGGGCGCTAGGCAAGCGTGGTGGGAGTGATGGCCGTGCCGCTTGCCCTGGCAGCTGTCTGCTTATGATGAGCCCTGTGGCTTTGGAGGATCCCTGCACAGCACTGGTGGCTAAGCCTTAGACTAGGTTGGCAATTCTAACCCACACGGAGGTACCTCAGAAGTCGAGCCTGGCAATCAGCTTCCCAGACCTCTATGGGTCCCAGTTCTTCCCTGCACACACGAGGCCACTGTGAGTTGGAATCAACTGGCAGTAACCAACAACAACCACTCAGTATCTGAGTCTGTTTCTTCCCATGTGGCCTGAGAAGGTTGATGTACAAGACGTCAGAAGTTCCACCCATTGCATGGACCCACATTTCTCCTCCTTGAGGAGGCACTTTCCTTGGGGTTACAAGTGTGCGTGCTAGAGATGGGGGAATCATTGCATAGGGGTCCAACACTCTGGCTTGAGCATCAGATAGACGAGGATTTGACTCAACAGCCCAGAGAGATGGATGTACTTGCCTCAGAGGGTTACAGTGAGGTCACATGCAGCTAGAAGCACCCAGAAAGCGCCTGGTAAGCAGAAGGAATGGGTTGAGTGGAAGCTCAGAGGACTCTGGCTGATTGGGTTCAGAGAACTGCAGGGACTGACACGGGGCTTTCCCTCTGTTGTATTTAAATGGCGAAACAATGGGTTCCTGTTCTGGGAGGGGCTTGAGAGTGGGCTCTCAGATCCAGGGTGGACTGAGCCCATTTGCAGGGCAAGCACCTCCTTAGCTGGACGTGTGCACCATGGACAGGGACCTGAGCGAAGATGAAGGTGAGTACACCCGGGGAAGTGGGTCACCTCTGTGGTTAGTGCTGTACAGAAATCCACCAACTGCCCTTCTTACCGTCTTAGGGTCTGCCTCGGCGTTGTCCTGAGTGTCCCTTCCTTCCTTCCTCATCTGCGCAAAGCCAATTTGCAGGCTGCTGTCTAGGCTTCCTTTATGTGCTTCTGGGCAATGCAGAGCATGGGCACATTTCACTCTAACTACTGCGGCATGTCAAATCGACAGGCTTGTAGTCTTTCTTATTTCCTTTCGCTAGTTGACAGTATGTCCTCCACCGCCCAGCACCCCGACTCCTAGAGCCAACAGTTAAGTGTGGCTTTCAGGATTCTCATCAAAGAGTTGGGTTCAGCACTTCAATAGGGCTAATTTTAAAGGAATGTTTGTATAGGTCTTTACTCATGATCCTTCTCTAGCTTAAGAGCACGTCTGTTCATCACCACTCATGAAACCCAGCTAGTGTCCCCTGTCATTGCTAGCATAGAAATGCAATGGAATCTATAACCTCCTCCCTGGGGGACGGACAACAGAAAAGTGGGTGAAGGGAGATGTCGGACAGTGTAAGATATGACAAAATAATAATTTATAAATTATCAAGGGTTCTTGAGGGAGGGGGAAAATGAGGAGCTGATGCCAGGGGCTTAAGTGGAGAGCAAATGTTTTGAGAATGATGAGACCAATGAATGTATAAATGTGCTTTACACAATTGATGCATGTATGGATTGTGATAAGAGTGTATGAGCCCCTAATAAAATGATTAAAACAAACAAAAAAAGAAATACAATGGAATCCAAAGACTTAAAACAGGAAGAAGAAAATGGTATTTTAAGAAGAAAGGTGTTATGTGGAAACAATTTCCCCTCAAATTGGCAACACATTCTAATAAAACAGGTGACACAAAATACAGACTCCCATTAGCCGCTTTGATCAGTGACCTCCCAGTTGGGCGTTAGTCATGAGCAGGGCTGCTAACTGCAGGGCCAGCAGTTTGGAATGACCAGCTGCTCCATGGCAGAAAGCCGAAGCTTTTTATTCCTGTGAGGAGGCTCAGTCTCAGAAACCCACAGGGCAGTTCTACCCTGTCCTATCCCATGGCTGTGAGTCTCGATGGCAATGAGCCTGGTTTAGAGTGTAGAGTAGTGGATGCGTGTCACCGTAGGATTCAGGTGGGAGGGGGATGAGGCCAGGTTCTCTGTTTTTTTTTTCTGGGAAGTCCTTAAAGATAGCATCGTCAATTATTTACCTGTTGGTTCTTCTTGGCAAAACACACGTTTTCCCTTCACTACACATTAGGATCATTCTGAATCTTTCTTGCACCATACTTTCTTAAGTTTAATTCATATCACCAGGCATTCATGCACACCCACTGTGTACCCCTCTACTGTATGCTTGGCACATCTACCACAGCAGTGTACCTACTGCATGCACACTGTTAGGGTAAGCAAGAGAGCTCTGC